CTTTCCTTTTCTCTTTCTCTCTTTCTTTCTTTCTTTCTTTCTTTCTTTCTTTCTTTCTTTCTTTCTTTCTTTCTTTCTCTTTCTCTCTCTCTTCCTTCCTTCTTTCTTTCTTTCTTTCTTTCTTTCTTTCTTTCTTTCTTTCTTTCTTTCTTTCTTTTTCTTTCTTCTTTCTTTCCTTCTTTCTTTCTTTTGTTCTTTCTAATTCCTTTGATTTAAGTAGTGGTTTCTTTATAAGAAATGAAACTACACAGAAACAAACATGTAAATGAATGACTATTATGTTAGAGTTGAAGCCCCATCATTCCTTATTTTATTATGCATCCCTTAGACTTCCCCCTAAACTCCCCGGAAATACACTGAGAGATTGTGACTGATTCCAAGGGTAATAGGGGACAGTTTGGCAAATCCTGCCTTAGAAACCTGGGTTCTCGGTGCCGAGGGGTGATGCAGTGGTAATGCAACTGGACTCCCATGAAAAAGGTCTGGGGTCAAGTCCTGTAGACCTCCCTGAGCAAACTTGGTGCATGCTGGCATGTCTGTCATCTGGACCAGCTGAAGCTGGGGATAGATTATAGTGTGAAGACCCTATCTGAGGTGCCTCTCTTTCTACATCTCTTTCTCATGTTCTCTCTCTCTCTTTCTCTCTCTATCTCTCTCATAAGTGAAATAAATAAATAGAAAAGAAACCTTGGTTCTCACCCTGGCCTTACATTGCCTGGAGGCACATCACCACAACCTTCAGTTTCCTCATCTGTGAAAGAGATTAAACTAAGTAGTCTGTAGTAGTCCCCCCATCTCTGCCCTACTCTGGTGCTTGGTTCCAAGAGGAGGTACCACACCACAGTGGTGCTGGTGGCCTCTGACAGAAGCCCCACACTGCTCACAGAGGGCCTAGGAACTGGACTAGCAAGAGAAGGTGGGTCTTCCATTCTCCCCTAGCCTGGGATCTTTTTCCTGGACTACTCTCCCACTTAGGTTCTGCTTGTACCTAATAGTGTACTTTTCTCAATTGGCTCCCTCCGTACACTTGATTCTTTTTTTTTGGAGAGATTTTCACTATAGGGCGCATGTGCTCGCCAGACAGACAGAGAGAGACATAGAGACAGAAAGCGAGAAATCACCCCCCAGGGGGGATGGTCACGCTGCAATCCCTTCTCCTCCATTCTCCTCTTGGGATCTTGGGCACGCACGCACATGCGCCCGACGTGAGTTTAAGCCACCGGGTCCGGGACGCAAACCGTGGTTGACTACGTGGGAGTCCAGCGACATAGCCATTACGCTAACTGCTGGTTCCCCATCCCTTGATTCTTGAGGCTTTGAGGGGTAGAAAAGAAAGAGGAAGTGACAACCAAGGGGAAAGAGAGAGGGTGAGAGGGAGGAAATGTTGTCCCTTCCTGTGTGAAGGGCATCCCAGAGCTGACTGTCCTGATGTTAAAAACATCTGAATCTTGATCACAGCAGAAAGCAGAGGCTTTCTGCTCCTGCGTCACCCACCTT